TATTGAGCATGCATCAGGATATCAAATCCTTAATGTTTTAGTTTCAGGTGACTGTCTTGGTATCTGCCCTGGTCTTCAGTGGACAGAGTCGTGTTGAGGGGACAGAACTCATCAACGATTCGTGTTACAAAATATGCCCGCCTGGTATGTCTACAACTCAACGCACCACTGAGCTTTAGCTGTAAGAGAAATATAAATTCAGTTAATGCCTTTTCTCCTTTTCGTGTCTATTTCTTAGGGTTCTTTAAAGCTGGTGATTGTGATAACGCAGATAAAACATACCGCTGTGAAAAATGTGGCACGGGCACTTTCACAGCCATTAAAAACTATATGCGAATGTGTCTGAAATGCAAAAGTTGTGGTCGTAAGTATCCTGGTTGTTTACGTGACACAAGATGCTTACGTGTTTTATACATCTAAGCCTTTTTATGATAAGCTTACTTATCATTAGATCATTTATCACTGACATGAAAGATGTGTTTTGTTGTCAGGTAACCAGATCCTCAAAGAGCCATGCTCATTTAATAACGACGCAGTGTGCGACTGTCAGCCTGGATACGTCTATGACGACAATGAACTGTGCGTCAGTTGCTCCGGTACCACAAGTGAGTAGACTGGACTCACAGCAGCAATGCTACATTAATATCTTGTCTTTGAAGAGTACATCCTTAATCAGAATCCTATTTTTCAGAATGCAGTATTCCAGTCAGTATTCCAAGTGGTTATTCAGGTTATACAAATAAATACCAGAGCGCAACAAGGTGAGAGACGGTACACTCAGGAAAACACGACACATCGTTCCAGTGCTTGAATTTTAACTCGTTTGTCATCAGCGGGCAAAAAGAATGGCATGAACTGACGTTTCTTGGTTTTGTCATATTGAGAAACTATTCAACTTATTTCTAAGAAATTTGTCTTTTGTTTGCAGTGAATTAAGAATTTTATGTTTTAAAGGGTTAAAAAATGCCATCAGAGCAGTTATAAGTTTTACACAAATCTTCTTAATCACAAAATCTGAATTTAAAGATGCTCTTTTATGCATTTCAATACTTTAAAGCAGTTTGCTTGCTTTTTATGATTGAGTTTGGCATAACCATTCATTTTAAAACTCCTTGTCTTATTAGAGAGCTGTTGTTTTTCCTGGAAAAGTGTAAAATGTGACAAACCCATGCCAATCCTCTGCCCGTTTATTATTGGATTTAGGATTTTAAAGATGATTATTCTTTACAAATGATGACAACTGGGACAAAGCTTTCTGTTAGCACAAGCTTGTACTTAAACTTGTACTTATATACGTAAATAAATGTCTAAAAACAAACTTTAATGTACAAAGTATGTAAATAGTTTATTTTTTAGATATTTATTTTGTACAGTTACAGCTGTTGCTAATAAATTTGCTTGTGTGACAAATGGGGCAAAGCTTTGACTCAGAAATATATTTTTGTTAGTACTTTATGGCAAGAACAAAATATCGAGATATATATCGTATATCACTATTTTTCTTAAAATATCGAGATATTAATTTTGGTCCATATCGCCCAGCCCTAACTCTGACGAGCGATCGTGAATGTGACGCACACTCACAAATGAACACTCGAGGACAACATTTCACATAATTTACAAGTTATTTCATAAAATTTGATCTCCAGCAACTGACTGCTTCAGTAATTTAATCAAGATATTCGAGATATTTGTATTTCCCTTTATACTGTGGGTTTTGTTTTCATTTGAAAACTTTTGAAACTTGATTTTCATATGAAGAGAAATGAACGTATTTTTCAGACTATAAGGCTCACTTAAAATCTTTTAATTTTCTCAAAAATCAGCCATAAGCTTTATAATTATGTATTAATTCTGGTAGTGCTTGCTGACCTTGAACCAATTTTATGTGGTTATTGTGAATGAGTTGAATAAAGTTTGACTTATCTGACTGTTTTGTTTCGCTTAATGCACCTTATAGTCCAAAAAATATGGTAAGACTTTTTTATTTTATGTCCAATAATTTTAAACCTAAAATGTATTTCTATGTTTGATCAAGCACCTTCTCTTATTCTATAGAGATTAGGCTGCAATTTAAATTATTATTATATATTTTTTATTTTAAGATGCATTTTTCAAGTTCTCCCAGTTCTTGGGGTTTAGCTGAAGCCCTGCTCTCCATCCCAACAACCCAATTCATTTTTTCAAGGATTCAAGGTTCTTTATTTGCCATACACACCACTTGCGGTACATGCGGTGGAACAAAATTGTTTACGCAGGGCCCCAGTTACATCCAACAAAAGAATAAAATGTAAAAGTAAAAACAGTAATAAGATCTACGATATGAACTAAGAAATAAATTTTCATGGTCCGAAAAATGTTCATATGTTTTTCGTAAATTAAACTGGGCTTTAAATTATTTTCTACTCAGCAAAAGACCTTAATTTTTAGGTCAAAACAAATTTTGTATTGTAAATTATCCATTTGACTCAGGCATCCAAACTATTTTACAGTATTAGCTTTAGATAGTTTATAGAAAGTCATGAGGCGACTGATTAATTTTATTTCTAAGAAAGTTTCGCAGTAATAGTTCTTCATGTGCTCGTTGTTGAAAAGGCCCAATTCTGACAACAGCTAAAACTGACAGCATGTTGAAACACACCCTTGTGTTCTGAACTTTACCGTTTAGTTGAATCTATTTTGATGTTTTTAGTCGCTAACAATCTCTTCTCATTGTGCTTTTAGAGTCCCACCTCCATCTACTAATCTGTCTACAGCTGCCACTGCAGTTTCAGTGACTACAAAAAGTAAGTTAACCCTCTGACATGATCTGTTGCGTGTTATTGTCAACTGGATCAGAACACAACAACTTTAACCTAATAACATACACGCGTGTTAGGATCTCGTTCATGCTCAGTAAATTCTGCCAATATTCAAATCAAACGTTGAACAGGAGTGGAGGTCCCTCTGCTGCCTCGGTCTGACAGAGTTTCTCATCAGTCATCAAAGTGAAAATCAGTTTCCGTCTCAGTTTATCTAAAGAAAAACCACACATGCTACTGTTTGCATGGCTTTACTGAAACTCAGCATGTTCTGAAATCGGAAGCTTAATAGTCATTTAGGACAATTTTGCTCTTAATTATTATTATCTCCTGTGCTGCAGGTCTCATCTGGACCAAATGCACTTTTTTTTTGGTTGCAAATACCGGTAGTAAGAAAAAAATGTCTTTAAAAATGTATTCACCTCTCGTGTTCACATATAACCTGCAGTAGTTTTGTTCTGTAGCTATAAGTAACATACGTGTTTGTATGTGCTTTTGAAGTCATCAATGCTGGTCTGGTTACTTCCACAAGTTGCATAAATATTTCAGTAAAATCCACCTGTATGCAAAGTGTCGCATGACCTGAATACAACGTGCACGTTCAGAGGGATGCCTGCAAAGATTAGGTCTGGTTTAGCGTTAACTCTCTGAGGATCTACAAAATGCTAAAGAAGAAAAGAATCTAAACGTGACACCACAAAGAATAACAAGAAAAACATCACAAATGTACAAACCAGGCAAGAACCAAAGCTCCACAGCTGCTTGTCCATGTAGTACTTTATAGGGATATTTGTATGTGAAGTAGAGTTGTGCTAAGTACTTCCACACAGTTAGTGTCATACCTGCAGTAGACAGCAGGAAGCTCACACTCAGTTTAGAAAGTCGAATATGATACTGAAGAAGAAGCAGAATAAGATGGTGCTTAAAAATGAAAGTGTTCACTATCAACAAAAGAGCATTATCCCTATGATGAAGCATGGCAGTGGCAGCATCATGCTGTGGCAATGTGTTTGTTTAATTTTTTTTTGCATCGTCTGTAAATATTTAAGCTTAAAGGAATCATGCAAAGTGAATAATACAGGTAACTTCATGAAGATCTTTTTTGGTGTCTCAGATAATTGAGACGGGACATTTTGTCTTTTAATGGCATAAATCACATTGTTACTGAGAATGTCTGACAAGAATTAAATATAACACTATCCAGACGGAACGATCTGGATAGTGAGTGATAAAATAATGTTAGATTAGAAGTTTTAATGCAATAACTTAGAAAGAAATGTAAAAAAAGTGGGATATTTTATAAAATATTGGACGTTTGAATGTTAGGCTGGATGTGGTGGTATTTTTCAAGGACTGTATCTTATTCACATTGTATTTTTTTTTTTTTTTTTTAACAATTGTCACAGGTAAAGAGATTTTAAATTCAAATAACACAAGAAAGAATAACTCATACAGTTTGGTTCTTCATGAAATTGTCTGAGGAAATGTGTTTCTTTGTTTCATGTTCGTCTCAAGTTTCATTGTTAAAAATTACAATTCTTTATTTTATTGTCTACCGTTTGTACTTTCAGCCAAATTATTTTTTCTCTTCTAACTCATATAAATTTATCATTGTGAACTTGTTAGTGATCTTTTTGAAACACTCTCCAAAATATCTAGAATTTCTTTTTAAATAAATGTTTGGAAATAGCTCAAATTCTTTGAAGAATGGTAGTGTGGTGCGTGTCAGAATAGTCAGGGTCATACCTGCAGTAGACGGCGTTTGAAGAATCAGAGAAATGCTCATGAGGAGTGGAGCTAACCGCTACCAGAAGATGACTCATTTAGGAACACATTTACATCTTTTAAAACAACTCAAAACAAACAAAGAAAAAGTGATCTCTGTTAAAAGAAAAAATATTGTGAACTTTTACACATCATTCTTTTTGTGGATGGTTTATTTTATAGATGTTTATGGTTATTTGCACTGGAGACCACACTGACCACTCTACGTCAGTGGTCCCCGACTGTTTTTGCATCTCAGACTGGTTTCAAACAAAAATACCAACAAAAACGTTCCCATAAACTAGCAGGGGGAAAGAAGTTGGTGCAAAAACGATGCTGTGCAAAAGGTTTTTTTTTTTAAATAGCAGAAATGTATTTTTCTGGGTAGCAGTTAGCTTCACTCCCTCATGAACACTTGTCAAACTCTTCAGATTAATGACTCTCATACCACAGTCTACTCCAGGTAAGATACTGACTACTCATAACTTTTTCACAGAAATTTTGAACTACCCTAATAACGTCTGAATAAATGTTTGCCTCAACTTTAGTTCAAGTGCCAGGAAGCGAGACTTCAACCAACACATCGAATCCTGCAGTAACATCAGTCCAAGGTAACTGTTAGTTTCATCTCTCTACTATAATAATACATAAATTATGTTTTAAGTCTCTAATTTGTAGTTCTGGCCCAGATTACAGAATAATCTGTTTAGATAATATATTACAGATTATGATTAGTGAGATCATGGCCGTTTCTCTTTGTTTCTGCAGCAAATAACCACATGCTCTGGTTGGTTTCTGTGGCGACTCTTGCGTCCTTTTTGGTGCTCTTTTGGTTTCTGATTTTCTGCGAGTGTACGCTCAGAAATCAAGACAGTTGTTCCTTCTGGAGGCCAAACAAAAATTCGGAAACACCTGCCCAGGAAGTAACTCTTAAAGGTAACCTGAATCCTACGTTTTATTCAAGTGCTAATTCCAAAGACCTGTGCAGACATGCAGCTCACTCATTCAGCTTTTGCTTTCCTCTTCACAAACCCGACAGCCTTTGGGTCATGCATTTCAAATTTTAAAGCGTTTTCATAAGTGCATTCTTTTCAAAGCTTTAACATTGAATAAAATAGTGGTTTAAAAGTAAACAACACTTGAATTGTGGTCATTTTATCTTGCAAAAAGGCTGCAGCACAACTAAACATAAAAACAGACACTCGTAAGAATCAACTGTAGCAGTTTTCAAAGAATTGTAGCAGTATTCTGGTTTGTAATGGCATTTCTGAGGTGAGCGTTTTGACACGAGCAGGAAACTCACAGATTATATCTTTCCTCCTCGCAGAGCACTGCAGTCATCACGGCAGCGCCCCGACCACGCTGGTTTGTGTTCAGTTTCATGTACTTTACGTTCTGTTCAGGTACTGTGGCTGTTATGTAGATAAGTGAGGATCCTATGAAAACGAGGCCACACACTGACACATTAAAGCCACTATAGGAGCAAAGTAACATGTTGATAAGGATCTTTCTAGTGAAATTAAACCATATTAAAAGTTCGAGGCAGCTTGCTGGTGTTTTTAAAAGGTGCTGAAGATTTTTGCACATGATGGAGACTGATTGACTGGAGGATATCATGTTTTACTTTATTTTTATTGTTTTTCTTTCAAGACATTTACCATTTCTGAGGAAACTCCCATGATGTTGCCATGTCAGGAACCACCTGCTCACATCTGTGGTCAAATGCCAGACAGTGTTCACACGCCGGGTAAGACCCGTTACCAGTAAGACCCGTTACCAGTAGGAATCCTCTGCTTGAAACAGATTTAAAGAGCTTCTCCATCCAGCAGTGGTTGATTGCTAATAAACCGAAAAGCTGAGAAAACCTTTCACGAGGCTTGAAATTTCCTTAAAACTGAACTTGGCACAAAAAAGGAAAGAAATTTGGTGGATCATTTATGTTCTGTAACAATGCGTCTTGGCAATAAATCATATTCCATTAAAAAGTCCATATTATATAAGCCCTGTATTTCCCTTTGAATGCTGAACTTGAATGTAATTCAACAGATATGAGTAGTGTACCATATTTTTCGGACTATAAGGCGCATAAGGCACAATATCAATGAACGGATCTGTTTTCATACATAAGGCGCACCGGATTATAAGGCTCACTGTCGATTTTTGAGAAAATTAAAGGATTTTAAGTGGACCTTATAGCCCAAAAAAAAGCCATACGTATATACAAAACAATTTAGATAAGATAAAACTTTATTGTCCACCAAGGTGAAAATTTTCCTTTGGATCTAGTATACTAGATACTAGTATTTATACTAGTATCACTTACTAAAGTTCAATGTCACAAGTCATTACGCTCGTTTGCTGTAAAATATGTGGTTGAAATTCAGCCAAGCTAAAGTCTCAGCAATGCTTTCCCTCCATCTGGTCATTGGTGTGGTGCAGTGTCTGAATTTCCAGTGCTGTCATCTTTTCAGCTGCGGTCGTTGTTCAACACTACGCTATCTTTAATCAGTTATGCATACAGAGGAGATAATGAAACTGCGTACCCTCATTTTTCACATCAGTCATAGTTCGAACATCAGAGGAAAGAGGAAATCAGATAGTAAATGCTCGTCTTTTTTTAATCTTATGCTAAATGCTAAACACTAGCTGTGATGTCATTTCTGTTACTTTTTTTAAGAGAAAATTGACTTTCATATAATTGGAGTTCAAGTTCAAGAATCTTTATTATCCCTGAGGGGCAATTTGTTTCACGGTCAGTAGGCTCATAAAACATTCATACTAGACAAGACATTGAGACATTAAAGTAACAGTGCAGAGATCATCACTGTTCGATCTCTACAGGAATGAATGAGTTTTTCAGTCTGTTCGTTCTACATCTGGGCAGCAGATACCTGCTACAAGATGGAAGCAACCTGAACTCACCATGGAGTGGTGATCAGGATCTGCCAGAATCAGCCTGGCCTTGTTCACTGACCTCACTTTGTGTAGATCAGTGAGGTTTTGTAGGACTATGCCAGCAGTTTTGCTGCACAGCCTGACAATCCAAACCAACAGATGAAGGTGAAAGTTAAAAAAGACTCAATAAAACATGAATAAAACATTCTTGTAAAAGTAGAATCAACATTAAAACCACAGAGCTTCTGATTAATAAAAAAAAAAATTTCTCTGGTAGGCCTTCTTACAAAGTGAGTTCACATGTGGGTCAAAGGTCAGTTTGTCATCGAGATCAATTCCCAGATATTTATATTAATGCACCACCTCAACAGCTTCACCGTTAATGACCACAGGAGCGGCAACTGAAGAGTCTTTTCTGAAATCAATGTCCAGCTCCTTTATCTTACAAATATTTAACTTTAAAAAGGAAGACTTTCTTTCTTCTATTTGAAAATAAATGTCAATAGAGTCAGCGTCAGAGATTCTTTATTGTCATTATGTATGTATTATGTGGGGGAGTGGTGGCGCAGAGGTTAGAGAGGTGGGCTTGTGATCCGAAGATCGCCGGTTCACGCCCCGGCCCCGACAACATCAAAATTGTGGGTGGGGTAGGTGAAACACCCACACTTGCCCCCACCCTCATTCGCCCCACTCTGGGCCCATGAGCAAGGCCCTTAACCCCCACCATGTGCTCCCTAAACAGGTCTCTCTTGAAAATGAGTTCTCGTGGCTCAATGAGACTAACCTGGATAAATAAAGGCTAAATGAAAAAAAAAAAAAAAAAAAATGTACACAGGGTCCCAGTTACATCCAACAATAAAATGTAAAAGAAAATTAGTAATAAGATCTAAGATAATGAAAATGTCTAAGAAAATGTCTGCCTGGCATCACTATAAATCGTTAGGAACTTAAGGGAAGATCCTTTATGCTTTTACAAAATGCTGTGAAAAGATTAATCACAACAAACCTTCATCTAAGTTACGTTTATTGGGACAATATGGTTAAAATGCTTATATAACCTTATAAGCATTGTGCTTTTTCTTCTATATTTAAAGTACAGCTCACAGGACTTTCATTATTTTCTTGTCCAACCTTTTTTTTTGTTTATGTTTTCGCTCGCTTATCTGCGATTCCTTCCTTCCAGCTACCAGACAGGATGAGCAGTCAGATCGCTGGCCAGCCATTGTGCTCTATGCGATCATCAAGGAGGTCCCCTTGCGTCGGTGGAAAGAGTTCCTGCGTCTGCTCTCGGTGTCTGACCAGCAGATGGAGCGAGTGGAGCTGGAGGCCGGTTTGGGTTCCATGGAGAAGCAGTATCAGATGCTGAGGCTGTGGAGCCAGCGCTCCTCGGCCAACCTGAACGACGTTCACTCCTCTTTACACCACATGGATTTATCAGGCTGTGCTCAGCTGCTGCAGGAGAGCTTGGAGAAACTACAGTGGAAGCAAAGGTTGACCGCATGAAGGTACCTTGCAGTATGAAGACAATGCAGGACTTTTGAAAGAGTGCACTTCATGATGCTGTTGTGAGAGCCAGTCCTTTGCATGTGGTCAAAGCCTTTTAGATGAGACGTTACTAATAGTTTCTAGGTGACACACCCACAAACAACTGCAAAGATGTCATGAATTGCACCCAAGTGATCAGAGAAAGTACATGACTATTTAAGGTACAGTGCAGATTTTTATAGACTTTATTTATTTAAAAGCACTTCATCCAAATTCACATTTTAAAGTAAGGCCTTTTCTAATATGTTAAAAGGTCTCCCTCCTTTCAAGCTAAAGTTTAAAACCAAGTTTATATTTATTGGTCAAACCCTGTAAATAACATTGAGCGCTCTCTCATCTATCAGGGTGTGTTGGAGCTCAGATACATTACGGGGATGACTCTCAGCTACTCTCGCTCTAAATTTGAGCTCAATATCAGTAAAAGTGATTGAGTTAGTGCTGAGGTGGCTGTCTTGAATCGAGTTTACTACAAATGAGTTTTAAGTGAGCAAACTGAGTTTCACTCATATCTGTTCAGTGGTTTGTGAGATATTTGGCTAACCAGCACAGAGTTCACTCCAACAGTTAAGGAGGGCAAATCGGTGAATACACGTTGGGGATGATTCATAGCTACTGCACGAGAAAGTGAAACTTGAATATAAGTTCAACCCTTTCAACGTAAAAATCGCACACATTTGATCAGATGCACAACTTTGAGCGTCAATCTGCCTCCCCTACAACAGGAAGCAGCTCATCTCTAACAATGATCTTCAATAATATGGTGAGTGTGGGGGAAATAAATAAATACAAATAAAGGAATCCATGTCTTTCAACTGTAGTCTTCTGCCAAGAAAGAGGTGAACAAAACACACCACTCTACCTCCAGCTTCTTTGTGTGGCATCTTTGAAAACTGCAGCAGCAGACAGCTGTGGTTTCTGATACATGAATACGATTGTTTATATGTGTGTGCAGAGAAATAAGGAAGTTGCACTTCTGTTTTCTTTCCTTAAACATCTAGGAATAGATGCTCGATTGATGTGTTTTAGTAGTTTGACCAGGCAAGCTAAAGACTCTGTGAGTTTTTGAAACTGTGCGGATATTTTAGGCTCAGCATCCACGATGTGTCTGATCGTACAGCTCAGATATGGATCGCTGTCGCTCACTGCACACTGAAATCCCCAAAGGACGTCAGATTTTCAGTTTCCTGCAACTGAACGTGTCAGGGTGCAGTAGGCTCGGGTTTTTTTTCCCCTCACCACACATATTTAGTTCAGACGGAGCTCTTGTGGTGCCTAGGTATCTCACTTTGAGAGGTTATGTGTCAGTTTAGTTCACTGACAGGAAAAAAAAAAGGATTTTCCAGTTTCAGGAGTTTATTTATAAATGTTTCATTACAAACATGTTTGGTCCTGAAATGTGCATATATGTTTATATATATAATACAGTCTTTTTTTTAATTATTGTATGCATTTATTTATGTTTTTCAATGATAATAAAGCTGTTTAGGGTTTGTAATTCTTGTGCTCACTGGTAGCTCCTGTGGTGCAAATTTATTATAAAGTTGTAATGTATTTGATCAAAATGTTGTGATGTAATATGTTAAAAATAAAAATGCTGTCACAAACCCAAAGTTCAAACTTAGTGGGTGTATTTGAAGCAGCAGCAGCCGTTGTGCAGGTGTCTACGTTTACAAAGCCCCATCCAAGAATCTGGGTTTTTATTGAGAGAGGTTTTCTTCTTGAGGTGGATCAACTATATCTCATGAATTGCAAATTTTGGCCTCGGCACAAAAAGGCAGCTGCCCTGCACCTTTTGTGTTCCCTGCTTAGAGCCTGGTAGATCTTGAGGAAAACAGATGATTAACATATTCACTTGGGCAAACAATGAGATATTGTGGAATTCAAGAACATTTGTGTTTGTGTATTTTGCTTCTGAATGAATTAAAACAAAATCTCATGAAGGATCTTAAATTCCTACACCCAAAAGCTCCGTTCGAACTGCTGATGTGAAAATATGAAACAAGTCAGCAAGATGACTGAATTTTCTTTCACTTCTGTGTCTGTCCTCACCACATCCTATTACTTTTACCTGTTTATTTTCTGCCCTTTTATTTATTTATTTGTTGCTGTCTAACTACGATACATCTGCGTACTGCAGTTTTAGTTTTCCATATATCAAAACATTCATCCCACTCATTTGGCTTTGTAACTTAAAATTTATAGTTTATTTTTCATCATAAAATACTTGGGATTGCTTCAACTTCTTCCAAAATATTGTTTTCTTTATATCAGCTTGCTCACTTACTTTTTGCAACTATTCTGCTTCATTTTGCTTTTAGCTAACTTTGGTTACTTTTAACTAGCGTTTTTAGATTGTGCTTTTATAGACTTTTGCTACTTTTAGCCACTAGCCAGCCCTTTTTGGAAGTCTTTTGCTCCCTCTTGCTATACGTTTGTTAGCCTTTTACTGCTTTTCGCTTTTATCATTTTAATACATTTAGCTTTTAGCTAAACTTTTGCCACTTTTAGCTTTATGATAGATATTTGTTTTAGCTAAAGTTCTCCAACGTGCTTTTTAGCATTAACAAGCATTTTGTTTCTTTAAGTTTTAATGTTCTGCTCTTTTGTAAATGAGTCGTGACTCAATGAGACTAACCTGTATAAATAAAAATGGAATGAATGAATGAATGAATGTCAGCTTTACGAGCTTAATTTGCAGCTTCTTCAGCAAATTTCAATGAAACAATGCAACATTTTGAATTTTTGCAGAAAACACCATTTCTCCAGTTCATCATAAAATTATTTTAAAGACGTCAAAACATTCATCTGATTATGGTCAATTTTCAATATATCATTAACATTTTTGTTTTATTTTTGTATGACTTATATGAGACAAGACAAAACAAGATTAAAAATACATATTTAAATAAAATCAAGTTGAAAATAGCAGACAGATGTTTTTAGGTGAGGAAAAACAGAGCCCTATTTTAGTTTTTAGTCTAAAATGAATATGAATTATTGTTTTTGTCTTGAACTGTTTTGATTTTATAAAATATACATTTTTTTTCTGTCTCGTACAGCATTAACAGAAATCCACTTCTTTCCTGTTCTAACGCAAAGTCTTTACATTATCGACCATTTTCGAGTTTGATCCGCCACAGATAAGCAGCGGGCTTCACGACGCCTGAGCACGAGCGTCTGTGGTTTCCAATGGCAACCGGACTCGCGCTCTCCAGAACAACAAACAGTCCGCCTCGTATCCTCGAGCTGCCCGGCTCCGAGAAGAAAGGAGGCAGAGCCAGGATCATTTCACCGACATCTGGAGCTTATCGCGGTCAGTTTGATTCTGTAATCTTCACCGATTACAAGTTAACAGAAAACACCTTTGTTACTTCTGCTGTTTGAGCGCGACTCGTGTTGTCATGGCAACCCCGAACCCTAAGCGGTTGGGGCCCACCGGTCATCCGTTCTTCCGGTACTTTGGCATTCAGTAAGAGGAAAGATAGGTACAATTCTCTATATCGATTGATGTTAAATTCATTTTTAAAGATGAGCAAAAATAAAAAAATAAATAAATTGCTGGAAACAAAAGCTAAAAAAAGGCTTGAGAGGCATGACTGAGAAATGGTCACACGGGGGCGCTAGAGAGTCATCGACGCCGTAAAACAAATTGATTTGTTTAAGAAATTATGACAACAGACTTCATTATTTCACTGAGTTTGTATTTATCTGAGCCTATCATTTTTGTTGGTAGGAAACAATTCTTCTCTTCTTAAAATCCAAATTGTTTTTTTAACTTAATTGTTTCGAGACTTTTAGGCAGAGGCCTTGTGCGAATTAAGAAACCATGACTTCAATTTAGTTTATTTCCAGAAATAAAAACATGTAAAACAAATGTATTTAGTTGTTGCTCTCAGGTTTATTTCCTATGGGACATGCTTTATTACTGTTCAGCATCTAGAAACCTACACAAACATGTCAGAGAAGTTAATTCTGCATAAAAGTTCACGTAGAAAACGCGGCTCATCAAATCAAAACGTGTTAAAACCCTGTCATGCAAAGACAAAGACATATCAAGGAGAGTTACAAAGTGTCCTGTCATTCGATGAGTCAAAATTTGAAATTTTTTTTGGGGGGAAACTTGTTTTCAGCATTGTCTAAAGACAGATTTTCCATCTTGTTTTTAGCAAAGAGAGTGCAAAGAATACCTTTCAATGTTATTTGCACATGGGAAAACTTGCACATGAAAAAAGTACCATTAAAGTTAAACAACGCAAAAGAGTAAAAGAAAAAAAACAAACAAACACTGAAAACAGTGACAATACCATTGTCTTTCTTTCTTTTGGGTACTTATTCATTAGATCATAAACATTTTAATATATACTGTATATGAATATTTTACATCCTTGGTAAATATACTGTTCAAATTAATAATCATTTCTTTAAACAGGGATGTCAATGTTCTTACGGTTTGAAAAGCTGAAGCGAGTGAAACTGGAAGAAGGGCTGTCTGATCATGACTGCTCCGGTTCGACCTGCAGTCAGAGTTTCACATCTGTGCACAGATGGGGACATGTTTCTTCAGGACAGAGACCTGGAGAAGGCCACCACCCTTTACATGTCTGCCTTCAAGACTCATGCCACCTCTGCTGTGTCCCACATGAGGAAACTGGACAACTTCAGCTTGGGACAGGTGATCTCTACCTTAGAAAGTTGGCTGAACAGTCATGAGGACAAGCAGCCCTGTGAGAGTCTCAATAAAGGTCTTGCAGCTGTTTTTCTGTCCACATTGTGCCCCAACAATTTGACAGCCACAATTTTCAAAATGGAGTCTCTTCTTCTGAGTGGCCGGCATAACTGTGAGGAGATCTCTGCTCGCTGCACGGCTCTGCTGGAGGGCAAGCGAAGCCCTCATCCGGAGGGCTCAACCCGCGTGCTGTTGGAGATAACTCGGGCTCTGGCCTGCTTGTTCTCAGAGC